AGTCAAAGTTACTATTTTAGATTGTTCCATCAATCTTTTTCAATATATATAGATTAGATTCCATAGCGAGCCATCCGCTAGCTCTATTGAATTTCAAAACTAATATGGTTAATTTTATAATATGAATAATTCAAATTATCCTATCCACCTTATATATAATTTTATAATGTATTGAGTCTAAGTGGCAGTCTCGTATGTTTCGAGATCCTATGTGGCGAAATTTCGTGTTTATCATTTAGGTTGGATAACTTTTAATTTACTTTCAATCCATAAATAATTAGTCTTTCCAATTTTGATAAGGCATGAATTTATTTTCCTCAATCCTTTTTTCCTTTTTTTTTTATAGCAATATGCTTTACTTAATTAATTTTGTAAATATATTTAAAAGTTAATTTTTATTATTGTCAAATTTTTATACATAATTTATCAAATCAATATTTTTTAGTTTTGATTTGACACTAGTACAACGCCCGTGTATTACACGGGTGCTTGCTAATTGTTTCTTAAAATCTAAAATTAATGAGAAAAAGTAGTTGAAAATTTAAATACCTTTATATAAATATATATTATTATATATTTAGTATGACACTTTTTATTTGTGCAACTTACATGTGTTATATTATAAGAATTTTTTTTAACTTACAACATATAACTACATTAAGCATAAATATATCAATTGAGAAATAATTTTATTTTTCTAATGAATTTTAATAAATATTATTATTTTTTATTATTATAAATATAAATATAATTTATTTATTTCATATATACAATATGGATGTCAAAGATGATTAATTTGATATATTATATATGTAAAACCGATACGAAATACAGAAGTTATTGACTTTTAAAATACATTTATAATTCAATAGCTAATTGAAGGAAACAAATCAAAAGTCATGGATATATTAGTCACTTAGTGCCTCAGTATGTAAAATTACAAAGAAATAAAGGGTTATATTAGTACAAGCGATATTAAAATACCTAATTTGGCTAAATAATATTTATGGAATGTCCAAACCTAAATTATTAATTATTAATATATCAGTCTAAACCTAATTACGAAGCATGATTCTTTGCCAAGTAGGATTACGAAGCACCAGAAGCAGCTACGTAGGCTCAGCGCATTCGGGAATAATATATAGGGAGGAATTAATATATCAATATTATTTGTCTAAACCTAATTACGAAGCATGATTCTTTGCCAAGTAGGATTACGAAGCACCAGAAGCAGCTACGTAGGCTCAGCGCATTCGGGAATAATATATAAGGAGGATATATAGGGAGGATTTATATTGTATAATAGAACAAATAAATAATTATGTTTATATTTACAAATAAAAATATTAAAAATAAAATTATCTATTAATATTAATTGAAAAAAAAAATTATGTATCATTTAAATAAACTTAACTACAAACTAATTATATGATATATGTTAAAATATATATTATAATATAAAATGAGTAAATCGCATATGTAATGGTGTTATCCTTAATATAAATTATAATAAATATGTTTTCAAAAAATTATTTAAAATTTAAAATAAACACTTTTTACTACCTTTTAAATTTAAGTATAATTTTTTTAACAAGCACCCGTATAATATACAGGTATTGACTAGTTTTTATTATTACATTAATCTTATAATTAACTCAAAATTTCTGCAGTTAACAAGAAAATCTTAGACGTACACAGTAATGAATTCTTTGCAAATACTGGTGAGAATATCACGTTAGCATCTATTTAAATAAGGAAAAAAAATATACATATATATATATATATATATATATA